TATTATGGCATCTTTCATTTAACATAAATTTATTGAAAATATCAGATAATTTACATCTTGTTTAATACAAATACTGACTGGAAATGTTTAATATTACAATAGTTTCAGATTACATTATCAAAAGGTTATCTTGTCCCTTGTATTCTAAAGGGGTTTTGTCTTGAAGCCCCATTTAGTTATGGATTGCACATACTGTAGTACGGTGATCAACACATCGTGTTTTCGATAGGCTTTCGGATTGTCTTGTTAACGCATCGTTATCATTAGTTTAAGTTGGTCCAGACTGTTCTAGTAATTTTAAAAGTTTTTGAGGTATTCATCGTTTACTTTAACTGCTATTAATACAACGCTGTTCCTGTATAAAAGTTACCAATAAACTCGTACAATGGTTATTACTGTATTCCGTTTCATAAAGACTGCAAATAAAACATGTGTTTTATTTCGATTATGATGTAAACAAATATTGTTATTGTTTTTGAATGCTTACAAAAGATAGGTTTAAATAAAGTCATATTAAATTTTGTTCTTTCCTGATTAAATCATTGTCACGACAACCATCAAGGTCGATAAAAATAGCTTTTTTGTGCGCCGTTTTGTGTAACGCCGTTGACATTTTGTTGTTTTTGTAACGAAAGGGTCCAACCTGTGCTACAATCAAAAGAAGACCTATTGTTACATAGCATCATTATTGATAGCACAATGAAAAATATAATATTAAATACGTTATGGAAAAATCTGTATACAAACCTATACTATTATTGTACTTTGAATAAAAGCGTATTCCGCTTTCCCTACAACAGTCCCGACATTCCCACATCTGCACAAACGCTCAGTCAGCTCGGCTAAGAGCAGACCGTTGTCGCCGAGCAGACAGACACGCACGACAAATTCCTCTTTCGGATAAATTCGAAGCTCACGAAGCAAAATAAGGATGACTAACCCAGTTTTAATACGTCTTTATGACTTCCCTGTTGCGTAAGAGGACCACGAGTTGCGACAGACATACAGACGGACATCAAACGTTTCTGGATCTAATGTTTACAGCTGTGATTACAGCATTGTTGTCCCCTTAGCTTGCTGTTTGACGTGTTGCATCATGGGTAGCCGCTTCAATAGGCATGCGCAGGCCTGAAATTGTAAATGCAGACCATATGATTAGTAAGCAGGATGGTATCGAGTTGATACGATTTGCACGTCAAATTCAGTTAGAGGACAAAAAATGAATGTCAAGTTATTGTTTATAACGGCTGTTGAGGCTGAACCGTCAATGAACTCTAGTACATAATTTTCTTTGTATAAATATTAGCTTGTGATGACTCTTCAGATTAATCTAAAACGTGCAGCGTGCAGCTATCATCGGATCTATTCGGATCCATTGCAAGTCCTATGATATTCATTAGTGTAGTTATTACAGCAATACAGCAATGCAGCATTGTTGTCTTCTAAGCTGGCTGTGTTCTGACGTTGCATTATGGGTAGCCGCTTCACGCATGCGCAGAGCTTTGCACGGGAGACCATTCTCATTCTCACTATTGGTACTATGTGCACGGATACAGCCGTAGAGATAGGTTTGGTTGTTAGGTGATCACTGTGTGAAACAAGAATGGAAACTTGTCTGAATTGATTGTCTCAGCTGGTGTGTTGTCACTGTACACTACATACACAGCTGAAGTTGAGTTTGGTCAATGTAAAACACATGACACAATGACGCCTTACACGTTCAAGGCGAGGTCAGAGCGCAGTCCTTCAATCCAGGCGGAACGGGTTCACATCCAGCTGATCACCGATCACTTTAGTGATAATTCCACGATAACGGTCAAGAGTCAACCGAAAAGAGTAGACGAATGTCTGATGAATATCATTTCATTTAATCTTTGGATATTGGTAGAAGCAGACACCCAATCAAAATGTTGCTGTAGTCGTTGGGTTGATAAAACTTGACGTACTTAGCTTAACCACCGACAGAATATGCTGATGTAGTTTACTTATATCTTTTGAGTGCCTCTTTTAATCTAGGCCAAACTTAGAGCACAACTGACACATTAGCATTTAACAATACGAGTAGGATCCTCATAGATGGGATACAATATCCAAAGCAACATTCTTCCGTATCGCGTTCTTAGCTATTCACATGAAGAAGCATTGGTAGGACTGCTAGAGTCTATTAAATTAAGAGAATCGTCGGGGAATGTAAACACCGCATGGACGTTACAGCCGAGTTTATAAGAGACAGGAGACTCTAGATAGAGTGGGAACTAGGTCGGGGAGGCGCCGGAACCGTCCTGTGTCCTGAATGTCCTGATGTCCTGCGAGTGTAAGCGAAGCACTCGTGACTTCAGCTTGCGTAACTACAACCGTTGTTGATTTATGTCCTCTTATAGGCGTCTGAGTATAAATAACACGTATTGAAAATCAACAAGCAACAGTGATAGCCTCCACGATTGCTACACTCTGGGATTCTAACCTAGTTTGGGCGCGATTCATGGGTGTGTCTGGTACAGAGCAAGTGTGTCTGTGGCACGAGTCTTGGTTTTTTTTGTGGATTTTGGAAGGTCTTGGCAAAAAAAACTGGACATTCTTAATTTTAAAGAAGAGTGAGACGATTGTAAACGCTTGGTTTTTCACATTATTTTGTAAGTAGAATTTATCGTGGTGTTTTCAGGGATTGAATTTGTCAACATTCCTATTGTTAAAGATGAGTGCAAAGATGGTGAATGTTGTGTTTTTGAGAAGTTACTGTATTGTCAAAGTATCATTTATTGTGGGATTGTATGTTTCAGTTTAGTAACGTTAGAATACGCTAATGGTGTTGTCTCTCTTATTTTGTGTAGATTTAAAAATGGGTCCTTAATTTGCAGTTTTAGTATTTGGAGACATGTGACCGTTTCATTAGCTAAAATAGTTTTCAAATCGGTTTAATAAAACTAAATAAACCGTAAACAACAAAACACTCTTAACACAAACCGGACATGGAAATACCCTAAAACATAGCATTTTCGACTTCTTCTACAAGGAGACTAACAAATATATATAAAAGTAAGTTTAATCCGCGCACAAAGCGAGTAACACCCGGTTGGATTCCAAAGACTTATAAAACACAATGCAATTGAGAGGTATGTTAATTCTCCGCTTTCTTAAAGAGCATGTCGATGACGAGATACCGGGAAGCATTTCTCACATTGCTAGGCAAGGAATCCGATTTTGAAATATAATTTAAATAAGTTTGTATTCCGCTCTAGTCTTAGTTAAGCCACTCATTTTACGATATTCCTTCAGGCACACTGTTCTAATTGTATTTAGTTTACATTCCATTCCCAAGTGGTAAAAAATTTTAGCTTTAATGGAAACTTGGTTGAATTGAGTTGTCAGCTGGATGAACTGTTGCCAAATGACTTTTTTGTACAATGTCCAATGTTACCTGTTATCTTTGTACTTGAATACGATAACCAACATTTTAAATATCAAAGTACTGTACGTTGGTTTATCAGAAAATCCATGAGTATTGACGAATTGAGTACTAGTATGAGCATTGAGTACTCTTATATAGTTAATCTTTGTTTCACATAGTATATAAACCAGAAGAATTATTATTTGTTATTATGATTTAATTTAGAAGGTTAAGCAAACGCCTACTAACAATAGACAATGGACATTCATTCAAGTTCTAATCTTTTGACGTTTAACGATGTTCCTTTTTTAACTGTAATTCTCAGTTAAAAATGACAATTTATTGATTTAATTGGACTTTTTAATGTTATAATGACTACCCATCAATATTGAGAAGTAATTATGGCTACATTAATTGGATTGGCATAGAAATATACTCAATTGGCAGATAAAGGCATTGCTAAAGTCATTACGTCACTTTAAATTCCATGAAGCATCATAATATGCGTTAAGCTATGGAAAATAACAAAGTCACTGGGGAAATAACAAAGGCAATGGGGAAATAACAAACAAAATCACCACATTTTTGCATACACTTCCACTGTGCGTGTTTCGGTACCACTTATCACGGTTCTTTGGCGATTAAAATTCTGCAAAGCTTTAATTTAGAGCAATAAACCATTTTCGACTAATTATTCGTTGACATGACAGCCAACTTTGTTGATTCTAAAATTAAGTAACATTAGCTGGATAACTGAGTGGTTATAGATGATAATAGTCGTCTAGTAATCAGGCGATCACTGGTTCGTTCCTTTTATATTTATATTTATATTTATAACACTCAATTATTTTATAAATAATTATTATTTAAAAATCATTCATTAAAATTATTAAAAATTCATTAAAATAATTATTATAATTATTTTATATTTATAATTGGTTTGAAACTGGACTCAACTTAACTTGATTATTAGGCTTATTGTCTAATGGTCCAACGCGTTTGAGCTCTAACGAAAGCACCGGAACAAAGCAATTCATTTAACACTTGTTCTTCACTCTTTGCCAAAATACCAACCGTGGTAGATGATTGGAGTACAATTATAATACAATAGCAGTGAACACCAAATAAATTTTACTTTTTTCCTTTTTATTAAAAAACAAATCAGTGTTTGTCAATACACAACATAGAAACTAAATATTTACCTCATTGACATTTTGCCAATAGAGTAAAAGCTTGTGTTGGTTAGTCTATGGTAAAAGGGTGTTATAATTCGGTTCAGAAATAAAAATTTGAAAAATACTGTACCAAACAAATACACAAATCAAAGGAGAAGTTTGTAAACACCAATGTCCATCAAAAGTTACTATTAATTATCGCTACCATTATTATACTATTATCTAATTACTTGGCCTATCACTATTCAAGATTAAAATATTAATTACGTTTATGAAAATTAACTGTCTAGAAAATGGTGATTGATTTTAAAAGGGTTTAATAGATTATAGACATCATAGATTGAGAAATTGTAATAGTAAATCGGACGATTACAATCTTTTGTTGTAATTGAATTACAATAAGAACAATAAAAATCACATAAAGAAAAGAACACATAATTACAATTGTAATTGTTATTACTAACTGTTATTACTTAACTGCCAAGTTGAAATACTTATCAAAAACCAAAGCTACATCATTGTAAAGTAGAACCAGTAAACATTAAAGCAGTTATCAAGAAATATCTGTAAAGTATATCCCATGTTTTCAATAATAACGTAAACAAAGATATAACATTCCAAAACACCCACATGTAAAACAAATAATGTAACAATAAAAAGAAAACCAACAAACGTAGTTTAACAATCAACAAATAACAACATTAACAACAAACTTTGTTAACGCTTGGATTCAGCGAGGCAACAAATTGTACATTAAAACCCTCAATATAGTGTGTTTAATCAATGATTTTTTATGTGTACTAATTAGTTTCTTTTTTCAGTGGCACAGTTTTATCGTCTATGTGGATATTTGTCAGAGGTTTTTACAATACCAAATTATTGCTACGCAGGGTCTATTTTAGAGACTATAAAATTGCAATAATTTGTTATTACCACAATTACTTAGCACTAAAGTAATGACACTGCCACACCACTTAGTAATAACGATAAAATAACGGAATTATAAATTAATTACATGATAATTATTCAATATTTCATTAAACTCATTACCGAAAAAAAAACTTACAACAGTTAATTAATTACTTGTCATCAGGTGTAGACGATTTAGCTTAGTACCATAGAGTTCACATTTCTCTTTTAATTCTACACTTTGCAAATGTGTTGGATTTTAACTTTTCTGTGAAGTTTTTTTAATACATCTTAATATACTTATGCTTTTCCTTGTGGCCGTAAAACTACATAGTTTTGTCAGTGTTAACATTTATATACGTCCAAACTTATTTATAACAACCTTCAATAAATTTAATGACGATTAACTCAAATTATTTCAAACCTAGTATGGAACATAAACATATTTGACCCGTTAGTCTTCCAAACATTACGACCTTGAGTGGTTACAACAGTAGTAGTTCAGGCAAAGAAAATTACCATTGCAATTGAACCACACGACAACGGTGCTAATCTTTAAACAACTACACATTTATACATCCATACTTCAGGTATTCTTATGGTAACTTATATCCTCGTGGTACTCCAGGTATGGGTACTCTACACGTCCTCGTACTCCTGGTAGCTCCTGTAGACAGGCCTGGGGGCGGGTCTGGGGGCGGTCGCGGGTCGTGGAGCCTTGAACCTGTGAGGCAGCGGCTGGGGTACCCTAGGAGGACCCTGGGGGTGGGCGGCGGGACCCGTGTACCCTGAGGTTGGGGTAGGAGTTGGGGGTGGTGGAGGCGGCAATCCAGAGGGACCGTACTTCACACTGGCCTGCAAAGCGGTCAAGTAAATCAGATAAGTAAAGAACTGGTGTTTGCTTTGAATGTGTTTGAATGACAGAGTGATTATGGTATTGTTTAAATAGTTAGCAGAATACTTAGACCAGTATCATACTAAACATGATCTAGTCTATTGTATATAATGAATTTAAATACCAGTGACTTTTTTTAACCTCCAAGGGAATCCGGAAAGTGAAGCCTCCCACCACATAACCTTTACAGGGTCATCTCATACGCTGGCAAAGTTTACTATCTTTTACCCTAGTTTCTCCTACCACCCACCTGGAACCCATGTACAGGGTCGGCTACATAGGTGACTGTACGAAGGGTACCGTCAGGCTCCATGACACTGTATTCTCCCTTGACCGTGTCTCCTTCCCTCGCCTCTGCCTGGGCCTGTGCCACGCCACTCTCAGGATCGTGCATCCCGTAGGTGAACGAGTAGTCAGGCTTGGCCTACAACAATAATACAACACGTACATCAATGTATACCCATGTATAGCTCATTCCATTAGAATCTCTAAAGAAACGGGCATGTTATTACTAATTTAAAGAAGTGTAGCAAAGAATTAAAAACCACGATGTTTAACTCGCTGATCTCATATATTCAAATCATTTTAGCCATATATAACCTTTCTATAAGATCTTATATTCCTAATATTACTGGAATGACGAGTAAAAAAGGCTACAAGTGGTTGGTGAACTTGTGGAAATAAATCCTCTCGCATAAAAGTTCATCTCGGTCCCTGAGGCTCGGGGTTGAAGTTAATACTGTGGTCAGTAAAATAGCTTAAGTTGTACAACTCCCTGATGTTTATGCTTACAACGTTTCCTGGAATGTTCTGCCTTTGTAATCTATTTAACAACCACGAGCTTGTGGAAAATTTTTCGATTAGTTTCTTCTGTGTAATATTGTCTATTATAATGAAAGTTTTATACTAGACAATTTCATTTGCCAAATTCCTACAAGATATCTGGATTTAAACTTTATTTTTGAATACTAATTATTTTTATACAGTATCTTAGAACTATATCTTTATTAGAATATAGCTAGCTTGAGGAAGCTACATAGTACCTTTTCAATATTTATAAGTACACTAATTGCTTGGTATGGTTTAAAATCTGTGTCTGGGAGGAGTACAATATATCGTCAATTAGAGATTAACAAATTTCAAAAAAAATATTGCTTTAATAAACATATTTTATTATATCATCAAAATGTTTATTTTTTCAAGGTTATCTGATTTGTTTAACGCCATTAAAATCACAGTAGCTACGTAATATTTACTAACACAGCTATGTGTCCTTTGTCTTCATTAAGATTAACTTCATTCTCTAAAATCTTTACACCACCCCAAAACACTTGAATCCTAAAAAAACTGAATCTTCAACTAATTACTAATCAATCGCAACACTACGACCGTTTTCACTTTTCAGTAGGTACACTATATTGCATACTAAAACCTATATGTATGTATATAACCCCTACGAAATCTCTATCGCTCACAACTACACAAACACCAAATTGACCAAACCAATCACCGACCAACCACAACACTACCACCTTCACACTATTGCGTTATATTCTCCCATGGGTCCCAGTTGACTGATTTTACTTGTCAAATGGACCGTTTGGGATCCATTTCACGGGTTTGGTGTGTAAATGTACACTAAATGGTCCGGCGCGCGCAATGCATACCTCCGCGTTATGAAACTGCGCTAGAAAGCAACGTTTACTGCGCATTGTTAAACATCAACCATCGGCTGTCCTGATGTCCAACTGTTATGGTCAGTTGCATAAAACTCAACTCTTTCACGAGCCGCCCGAGAAATCAATTGCAAGGTGTGGAGCGATTTAGACTGGTGACAGGTTGTGTATGGAACAGCTGTATAACATTAACAGCTGATTTAGTGTTTTGTTTTAGTGTGTCTATCAGTACAACCGCAACGTCAGCCTAATATAAACCTTTACTTGGTTTGGACCACAAATATTAGAACAGAAAAGGTATGGATCATAAACAGAAACGAATTACGTTATTGGCCCGAATTTGTATACTAACATAGACAAATAGTATATTTCGTACCTAGGGCCAAAAATGAGGTTTTGCCGGCTCGAGACAATTTTTAAGTTCAAGACGAAGTCGAGAACAAACGATCGAGTGCTGCAAAACCATTTCGGTCCGTGGTACGAACGCTATTTTTACCACACAATACACTACAGTATTACCACTATTCACCACAAAAATAATGCACACTGGTAGTCAACACAACTACAACTTCATGTACACAACTACAAGGTCATGTAAAGAAATTATTTGAGGAATCAGGAAAAATAATAATAAATATTTGCTAGGCAGTGGTGACAATAAAACAATTCTATTGCAATGCTATGGATACTGTTGTGTAGGTATTAGTAAGCGGTCAGCTGATTTTGCAGCCCTAGGGAGGGATGTAAAAACCTGCTCGGTCCCCAAATGACGAAACCAGCTGACACGGCCAGCAAAACGTAACTTTCAGCCACCAATTAATTAACGTATGTAAAACAGCTAAAGAAAATCATAGTGTGTTGAAAAAGAATTTACTAATAGTCTTAAAATCTGGTTGGACATTTCTTCACAGTTCCACTTAAATATTAATAGAATTTTTTTCCGGCCAGTTACATAATTTTTTTATGTTTATTATACATACCCTTTGTGTTATAATATTTGTGGTTTGAATAGTTCCATTAAAAAATCGTAACAATTCATATAGGGTAACACAAATCAAAATCTCCATCGCGAAACTCTAAACTCACCACATAGTCCACCGCCTTCGAAGGCATGGGGTTTCTGGAGTCACCGTAGGGGTTGGTCGCCCCCTGCGGCAGCTCGAAGGGTACCTCTATCTCCTCTATGTTCCCAGACACAGGACCACGGAAGCTGCTGAACTGGTATCCTGAGGGCGAAGCCCTAAATGGCCTAGGGGAGTCTTGATGGTCCACCCCATACTTAGGTGAGGGCCGGGGGGAGTTTAGAGCGAGACTGGAGTCTGAGTCATAGTCATAGGAAGGAGCTCTAACTGCTAAGGCTCCGGTTACTAGTAGAAGCTGTAAAGCAGGCTAAGGTTAAAAAAATGATAAAAAATTAAATGTTATAGATTTTTTATTGCAACTAGACTTTACCAAAAATCTTCGTGTTTTAGTACTGGATAAAAAGCTTTATTGAGGGACTTTGATCTAAAACCCAAACATAATGCTGTTCCAACTTCGATTGTTTAATCTTAAGGTTGGTATTTTGAAAATATGTTTAGGCATTTACGTTATCTGTCCCTTTTTAAAAGATGGTTTTACAAAGGGCTTTAAAAGTTAGTTATTTGCTGCAACTGTTGTCATTGAATCGAGCTAGACCCATTTCCATGTTACGGTTGATCTAACTTAAAAATATCCCGCCGCATTAAACCTGTACACTACGAATTTCCATTTTTCTGATTGAATTTTTACCCAAATATATCCTCACACTGATCAGATTTATTCAATTCCAAATAAAAATTACATTTAACTAGTATCTAGGTTTGCTGCTAAAGATCTATTCAATTTCAAAATAAAATTACATTTATCTAGTATCTAGGTTTGCTGCTAAAGGGAAGGATGTGTGTTTTTATGTTAACAATAACGCTTCAATACTTATGCAATATTATTTGTTTTAATCTCTACACTACACACTGTTTGTTTTAATTAAAACTGAGCATGTTTATATGTTATACATTTTATGGAGATAGCCAAATTTAGAATGAAAATGGTCGTAGTTATATTATCAGAGCGAGCTGTTGTAAATAATAATCGATTACTATCAAATATCCCAATTTGTTATTAGGCTATAGATAGAATGTATACTTCAGCATTAAAAATCCAAATAAAAAACTTTGATTTCAAAGAGAATATGAATAAACAATTTTCAGAAAATTGACAGAACCGCAATAACTACGTTAACATCAGTCATTAACATAGTCTTACAACCTATAGTCGGTTCACATTATTTAGGTGGTTTGAGGGCAATTCCACTTGTTTGTACTTGTATGTTGCTTAATCAGCTGTTAAGCTATTATTTTAAAGGTAAAAATAGAATGGAGGGAATATGTTTCTTCTCCTAAAACTACCTAAATATTGTGAACGAAGTATAATGAACGTTATTATAATCTACTTATTATTAGTTATTTACTTAGAAAACATTGTTTAAAAAAAAGTAAAATTCTAAACACTCTAACACTTACCTCGAAAACAGCTATCATGTTGACTGGTCTGGCGGCGAAAGGGTCTGGCTTTATAGCAAAACTGAGGCCCGCCGTTATTCAATACCGCATGCCCATTGTTGTGGTTGGAAACGCAATTTTCCAATGGACCATAAACAAATGCACCACTTTGTACAACTCAGTCCAATAATATCCTTCTTTCGAAATGTGATTCATACTTGGATGAATACTCGCTAATTATTACGATTGTATTTTATATAAACTATTGTTTAACGTGGCTTAACAATGTGAAAGCATAGCCTCTAGAACTCTTGAGGATCAGCTGAAGACACGTTTGTGGTATACATTTATTCGCGATATACGTTGATGACGTTTTGTTGTTTACTATTTACCTGTTTATCTTATAAAAATTTGGTTTTTCTTTTCCGAGTTTGTTTGCCTCTTTTAGCCGATCGATTTTCATGATTGAGGTCTCAAATTGAAGGTACAGTATATGCACGCACAGATTTCACATCAACTATCGGAATATATTTATCTACGGTACCACGCGGCTTATACGTAAACTAAATTTACTCCACATGTATTTCTTATGGGAGTTAAATTTGGGTTTTCTTTTCCGAGTTCGTTTGCCTCTTCTGCTCGACCAATTTTCATGATTGGGGCCTAAAATTGAAGATATGCACGCACAGATTTCACATCAAGCATCGGCATATATTTATCTACAGTCCCACTCGGCTTATACGTAAACTAAATTTGCTCCCCATGTATTTCTTATGGGAGTTAAATTTGGGTTTTCTTTTCCGAGTTCGTTTGCCTCGTCTACCCGACCGATTTTCATGATTGAGGTCTCAAATTGAAGGTACAGTATATGCAAGCATAGATTTCACATCAACTATTGGAATATTGTTATCTACGGTACCACACGACTTATACTTAAACTAAATTATCCCCACATGTATTTCTTATGGGAGTTAAATTTGAGTTTTCTTTTCCGTGTTCGTTTGACTCTTCTATCCGACCGATTTTCATGATTGGGGTCTCAAATTGAAGGTATGCACGCACAGATTTCACATCAAGCATCGGCATATATTTATCTACAGTCCCACTCGGCTTATACGTAAACTAAATTTGCTCCCCATGTATTTCTTATGGGAGTTATATTGGGGTTTTCTTTTCCGTGTTCGTTTGGCTCTTCTACCCGACCGATTTTCATGATTGGGGTCTCAAATTGAAGGTATGCACGCACAGATTTCACATCAAGCATTGGCATATATTTATCTACAGTCCCACTCGGCTTATACGTAAACTAAATTTGCTCCCCATGTATTTCTTATGGGAGTTATATTGGGGTTTTCTTTTCCGTGTTCGTTTGGCTCTTCTACCCGACCGATTTTCATGATTGGGGTCTCAAATTGAAGGTATGCACGCACAGATTTCACATCAAGCATCGGCATATATATTTTTGTACTTTATTACTCGTCCAAAAACATAAATTTAATTTGTTTAGAATTTTTACTTCAATTTAAGATGTATTTCACTAGTTATAATTATATTATCCTATATATTATTTTGGTCTAAGAACCTTCATCAGTGAAATACCGGCTTTCATTAAAGCTATTCTATTAGTTACTCAAATCGGACGAGTTTCAAGCAAACGCAAGGTGAACAACCAACATAAAAGATTTTTTATAAGGGTTTTCTATGGTTAAAAATTTAATAGCTCCAGTATTGTTTATGTTGTTTTGTGTGTTTTAGATTCAAGATAATCAGTAAATTATAGGCTTTAATTTGAGCTATTGATCGTTTGAATCAGTCAAGTTCAAGATACTGTATTATCTATTTTAAAATCATAAATTTGATTATTTATCGGATATGATATTTATTTCAACGCTGCGGAGCATTGAGTGTATAGGTTCTTTACCATGTGGTAAAATCTTGAACCTGTTTTGATGTAAGGTTTATGACCATCTACGTTTCAGTAGTGCGCTTATATTGACTTTTCTCTTTGGTTTTGAGGTCAATTTTAGAGTGAGCATTTTTTTCTCTTGGTTATAAGATTTTAAAATGTTTGTAATGACCCTCGAGACGAGAGAGAATCAATAATAGCCTATAGTATTGATTACCAAAGGATTGGATAGACTTTGGTTGTAATTGGAATGTCAATTATAAATATACGTAATTAATTAATTAATCGTGTAAAAAAACATGGCCAATTAGTATACATGTTGTCATTTCATTGAATAGTACTTTAGAAATCAGAAATGAGAATATTTATTGCCGTTGATCAAATACATTGAGATGAGATGGGCATTGTACAATTATGCAAAATCTTTACATAGGTCAATCATGCAAAGTAAAAGATGTTTCAACATCAAATTTTCAACATCTAACTGTAAAACAGTACTAGATGTTACAGTAGCTAGTTTCTGTTTTTATATCTGTGAAACCTATCATCATTTTAAAGCCTTTGCGCGTTTCGCTTTTCGTGTTAAAACAAGTTAACTGAAAAAAGTTTCCACTTTTCTAGAATGTACTATAAAATAATATTCGTTAATCCCTTGACTGTGTATTTTCAATAAACTGTAAACTGTAACAATGCTTAAGTCAATCCACAGGTTGAGGTAACTGTATTGCACAGATTGACAGATTTGTCATTTACACCTTTAAATTGGATCAAACTACAGTCTTGATAACAAGACTCTCGAGGGAATGATTAAATTATACTTGTTATCAAGGTTGACTCCTTATTGAGGTTTGCAATGACATGTGATTTGGGGTAAAATAAATTCAAGGGGATTTGAAAATGACACTTGTTATCAAGGGTGACTTTTTATCTAGGTTCCACTGCTTCTTGACATAGCCGTGACGTCATTGCAAATATAAGTTGCAGGCTTATCTGATTTATTTTATTTTATAATCAGTCTTTCAGTCCAGCCAATTGACGAGGAAATTATAGGTAATTTGTAATATACAAATACACAATTAATTTGATAATAATATACTGAATAAATTTCCTAATTGTCTATGTAGTGTTGTTATTTAAGTAGTAACAAAGTAGTGTTTCCTTTCAATGAAAATTTATTGACTAATAGCACTGAGATAAATTTAATTTATTCTTTTTATTTGTTTATTTTTATTTGTTTGCACAACTTCAAGGCGTTTTTGTAGTGCCTAAAGTTTGTAAAACAACTTTATTAAGTCAACGGTCAAACCTCTGAGAAGAAGATTATTGTTATTCCTAAAAGCTTTATTATAAGAGGAAGATAAACAAAATTCAAAAGTAACAACCTACTACTTTCTGAAAATGAAAAATTAGAACATTCCCTTATTCCTTTTTTGTAATAAGGAAAAAACAGCGTGATTAAGTTACATGGCATATTTTTCAGCCTGCCTTGAGACGAATCAGCTGTCTGCTGACTCTGCTGTCATTCCAATCAAGACGATTACACTGTTAGTTAACCTCAAAGTTAACAGTAACAACAATAACTAAGTTGTTACTTAAGTATTTAGCTGTATATTGTAGTTTATTTTACGTGGTAGATTTAAGGTTTATAAAGCTCTCTACACAGGTCCTACGTCTTTTGCGCTAGATATGTATTGCAATAACTGTGAGCTATAGGCGTGCATTTAATAAATAGCTTAAGTTAGTGTTCTGTCAAAAGTCCACTATGATCAAAACTAAAGTTTTTCGTCAAATGGGATGGGGTAGAGCATTAGGAGTATTATTAGTGGTATGGTTCATTTTTATCATAATATCATTTGGACTTCTGAAACATGACAACGATCCCCAAACAGCTCAAAGAATTAATCAAGCCTTGAAAGAACTTCAGCTGCTACAACAACAGAGATCAGAAGTTAACCAACTTTTGGAAATCTACATCAATGGGTAGGCTTAACTGATGTACATAGAGGCCTAGTTAGCATAGATAAGTTGTAAGATAGGTTAGTTATAAATTAAAAAGCTTAGCTGAGAAAATGTTGCAAAACTTTGCTTAGAACTTACAGTAGGTTAGCTGTACTTCTCAAACTCCATCATATTAACTTATTATCGATAGAAAAAAAAATCCGAGGATAGAGGTTGTTTCAGTGTCAGAGATGAGATAGCCTATTTTAAATAAGTTCTGGTTAATATGCATTTTAGGGTTTGCACGCGATTTTTGAAATTTTTTTTTCATTCTACTCGAAATTTAACGCTGATTCCGAAAATGACGTTCTTTTTTCGCGGAAAACGACCATAACGCGGAAAAACGACCAAAACGACCAAAAACTCTTTTTTTACCAAAACACGTCATGTGGGTACTCAAATTAACCGGAATATTTAGCAGATCACGACTATGCAAGAATTTTTTGGATCCGAGGTCAAATAAGCGAGATATTCACGAAAACGTGATACTACCAGCAATAACTCCAAGTCACTAGGGGACAGGTGGGAATTCGGGGTTTTGGGTGGGGGAGACATCTAACGTGGTTTATCGTTGTAATTTAATGTGTAAAAAATAATGGGTAATTAGTCGGGAGAATTATGGCAGATATGCTTGAAATTGGGAAATTTTTCAGTACCAACCTATTCATTGGTTGTAGTAGCACTGCCATGTTGCTCGTTAGGTTAGGTTAGGTTAGGTTAGGTTGGTTAGGTTAGGTTGGTTAGGTTAGGTTAGGTTAGGTTAGGTTGGTTAGGTTGATTTGGTTAGGTTAGGTTAGGTTGGTTAGGTTAGTTTGGTTAGGTTGATTAGGTTAGGTTAGGTTAGGTTAAGTTAGGTTAGGTTAGTTTGGTTAGGTTAGGTTGATTAGGTTAGGTTGGTTAGGTTAGGTTAGGTTTGGTTAGGTTGGTTAGGTTAGGGTAGGTTAGGTTAAGTTAGGTTATGCATAACTTAGCATCATCCCTTTTACCTGTTAAATTAAAACATAAACAATTATAATAAAATAATGACCAGTTGATCCTGATCAGCTGGTATTTTAACACAGACAAAAGTTAGAGCAAAAATCCAAAATAGCATCGCATATTTACGTGAAAATCTCGCTTATTTGACCTCGGATCCAAAAAATTCTTGCATAGTCGTGATCTGCTTAATATTACGGTTAATTTGAGTACCCACATGACGTGTTTTGGTAAAAAAAGAGTTTTTGGTCGTTTTGGTCGTTTTTCCGCGTTATGGTCGTTTTCCGCGGAAAAAGAACGTCATTTTCGGAATCAGCGTTAAATTTCGAGTAGAAAAAAAAAAAAATTTCAAAAATCGCGTGCAAACCCTAAAATGCATATTTACCGGAAATTATTTTGTAAGCCCACTAATAACTTAATGATATGATCAGTTTTCCTTCCCCGTTTTGTCAATTCAAGCATTTTGTGTGGCATGTTAGCATAGAACTATTTCCACTCAAAAGTCCATTCCACTATGAATACAAGGATATTAGTTTGAAAGTTATCTTACATTAAGTTAAGTTAGTTTTTCGTGTTTTGTGAAGGAATCCATCAATGAAACAAGATGAAAAGGAGGCCCTTTTCAAATCATACCAAGACAGACTGGCACGAGTTGCACATTCAGAACTTGAAAATGAGCAACCAAGTGAATTCACACTCGGTGAGTTGCAGTAATAATTTTAAATAGGTACCACAAAAAGGCAGATTTAAATAGTTTATCTAAGTTAAATAGGCTATGCTATGTTATGCAGGAGGTTTTCAACACTTAGGCTACAATTCAGAGAAATTACGAGTGTAAAGGTTGATTCACACACATCAATTCCAGTGCACCCCGGTTCAGGCACATCATTAAAAAAATGTATACTTTAATGGATTATATTTTGCGCTACAGTTTCTACACTCATTCGGTGCAGTTTTGAGGCAGGTCCGTAAGTCGCTCTGCCAGTGCCCGTCAGTCAATTTCAGATTTCTTCCAACCAATATGTTGGAAATGTTCGGACGCCTGACGGACTGGTTCTTATGTGTTTGACCTTGAAAAATAGTGTTTTTGTTATTTAAATGATTGTGTTTATATTTAAAGTAGGTAACCCACTCTTTTTAGCAATCGTCAAGATAGACGATGATAAGTTGTTAGAATACCTATTGTGTTTTAATACAAAAATTCTTCACTGCAACATAAATAAACTGTAAATAAACTGAAGGAAGCTGACTGAAACCAACTGATGGACAGTTGACCGAGGAATTGCGGATGTAACTGAGACTGAACTGTGCCCCACTGGACTGATGTGTACATGAATCAACCTTAACTATGCTCACTATTAAGGTAAAAGTAAAATAGCCTATTAAAGTTATTCACTCTATGAATTAAATTTTTGAATTCGTAGGCTAACTAAGTTTAAGTTAGAACCTATATCTATATTTTTAATCCGTGGTATATCTTCAAAAATGATTAGTAAAAGAATTGTCGATCACTGAGATACAAGCATAATATAATATTACAGGAAACAAAGAACAGCCCAGCTTAGAATATGAGAAGTTGCGACGTAGATTGAAGTCCGAAGTTGAAGAACTGTGGTACTTTGTGAGTGCTCAAGTTCGGCTGGCGCAACGAGAGGGAACCGACTCCATGAGACTGACAGCACGACTGACAAAGTTGCTCGATGAAGGGATAGAGCATAAGAGGTAAGTTCTCTGTTTAGGCCTCAGTTATCATTGTAGTTTTACAACAAGTATTTATTTTAGGAAAATGAATTTGGAACCATCCAGATAGAAACCTACAGGAAATCTTGAGTATCATAATTAAATTAATTTTTCATCTTGAGGCAACTGAAATATTCTTAAGTATTTTAATTCAATGTGTTTGTAGAGCATTACTGAAAGATATCGCTTCAATCGGAGAACTAGACGGATACTCGGGCTGGAGGCTAAAAGAAGCAGCAGATTTGTCAGATTTGGTGCAAAGAAGACTCTATTACCTTCAGAACCCAGCGGACTGCAATACTGCAAAAAAGCTTGTCTGTAATTTAAACAAGGTCAGATAATTTGTTGCGACAATTAGTTAGATTGTGTTTAAATTGTTTTGTTTGATCAACACAATATTACTGTATACCTAGCCTTTAATGTTAGATTATTGAATGTGCCAGATTAGCAGGTCTGTACTGTGCAAAGATTGCTGAATTCTTACTGAGATAGTTTGTAGCACTTTTCTAATAGGCCTACAAAGAAAATAGATATAGTTGTCAGTGATAATTTATAAAAAGATTCTAGCAAAGATCCAGGACGATCTACAAACAAGGATTATTCATCTTTAAAACATTCACACCCTTAACCACGCAACCTGATGTGTAGCCTATACAATGAATACAATCCCTTTAAGAAGCGCAATGTCTTTGTAAAAAGTACATTCTGGAAGTATTTGAATTTTCAATAGTTCCCTCAGCGGCCGCCTGGTAGACTATCGAGAGCGTGCGGCAAGTCAGCTGACTGAGTGAGACAAAGAATTTGCTTAGAAAGAGAGAGAGAGAAAGAGTAGCGCAGCTGCCGCGCGAGGGTTCGTAGTGGCAGCTGCGCAAAGCTCATTTCGGTGGCAAAATTCCAGTCTGACTATTCTCCATGAGCATTTTGCTTCATAAAGGGTTTGTATTCATTGGTCTAGCCTGTATCTAACTAAGCCTAGAGGCATTTTCATTTTATTTAAATAGTGCTTTTTATCCATTGGCGTATTCATTGTAAATTTAATTTTTTTCTTATAGTAAAATCTGAATTCTGAAAACTTTGTTCATGTGTGTTTGATGTAAGTTAATGTTTGACTTCACCAAATAGTAACTAAATGATTTTCTCCATTATAAGATTGGTGATTTACTCTTTGGTTTAATTCAAGTGGAACAACAAGAGTTTATTAATAGGCCTAGATAATTTTATTTGGTTAATGTTAATACTTTTAAAAATTGTTTTTGCTTATAAATATTGGTTATAAATCTTCATTCTTATACATTCCAGGGTTGTGGCTACGGATGCCAGCTACACCATGCTGTTTACTGTCTACTAGTGGCATACGGCACCCAGCGCACTATGATACTCAAGTCTAAAGGATGGAGGTACCATCGTAACGGATGGGAAGAGGTGTTTAAGCCTGTGAGTGATACGTGTATGGAGACTACTGGAGCTACCTCTACCAGCAACTGGCCAGGTATGGAGTATCGGAAATTGGTTGCATCAAAACTAGACAGCTATCCTTGATTAGGCTATACTTATAGAACTTAATTTTTACAGTGGTTCGACAAGCCTTCCTCATTTGTAAAAAACCGTGGCTACGGTTTGACAAACCCCGCTTGTTATGAGATATCCCAGGTTATAAAGTTGGATTTTTCTCTATTTTCACTACCTTCATATTTTTTTAAGGTTACAATGTAATAATTATCTTCAAATCCCGTTTGGAGATATGTTATCTTAAGATGGGTTAGTTTAGGTCAGAACTAAGGCATAACCTAAACCTTAGATTAGTGTGTGTTTACGTACAAACTATAGTGAAGTAGTGGGTTTTATTGAATGACATTTTAAAACTTGCAAGCATTTTATCAGTTAAATTATTGCATCAATTTTCTATATCATTTACAAGTAATTATTTTCTTTGGACGGTCTTTATAGTATACTAAAAATTCATTTGTGATGCTTTAACGCAACGTTTGGTTCCAGGCACATCATCCACTCAGGTAGTTGTTTTGCCGATCATAGACTCCATCTCTCCTCGGCCGCCCTATCTACCGTTGGCCGTTCCCCAGGATCTAGCACCTCGCATTGCTCGTCTCCACGGGGATCCAATCGTGTGGTGGGTCGGACAGCTGCTCAAGTATCTTCTACGTCCACAACCTAACCTGGCTAACTTCCTGCGCACAGCCGCCGAGCGCTTCGACTTCCAGAAACCCATTGTTGGGTTAGTGATCTCCTGCTTGTATTGCCATTGGCATTTTTAAGTGATCTAAGTTTCTGTTTTTTTTTTTTTTTTTTATGATTTTTGCTTCAGTTAAGTCAAAAAGTAGAAAATGTCATCCAGTGACTCCTCCTCACACTCAAACGTGAATATTTGTACGATATTATTCTGTACCTAATGGAGGCATGCACAATTTTTTTGTAGTAAAATATTGAAACTTGATCTACATTTTCAGATTCCAAAGAGTTAAGTTTCCATCTTCATTTGCTTTACAAGTAGAGTGGAATCAAATTTATTGTTTACAGAGTTCACATCCGGCGCACTGACAAGGTCGGCACTGAAGCTGCTTTTCATCCTGTGGAGGAATACATGCTGGCCGTTGAAGAGTATTACCAACAGCTCAGCATGACGAAGAACGTTGACGTCAAAAGAATCTACCTGGCCTCAGATGATCCCAAGGTCTTCTCGGAGATCAAGAAAAAGTAAGTTGAAAATTGTGTAGTAATAACAAGTCTCTCATGAGAATTATTTTATAAGACTTGTAATTATACTGGGAATACACTATTGCCCTAGCTTTGTATCATGGTAAGACTTAGAACCTGTGATCAGTTTTTTGTATTGATGTCTCTAGAAGTCAAGTTCACCATCTGTTCAAATCTGTGTACATGTGTGTGTATTTTTCCATAATAACTCGAATAAGAATCAAATCAAAAGTATGATTTGATCTTGAAAAAATTCAGTTAAAACATGAACCAACATGCTCGGACTTTGGGAATCGCAAAATTCTTTCTACACTATTTTGTAAATCTGAAAAGACAAATAATTGAGTACATTGAAGCGTTGTTGTACGTTTAATATTTGAGGAGAAAATTGAAAAAAACTGTACATTTAAAATTCCCATATTAAATATGTCTTGTTTAACTGTTTTAATTTGCTTGTCTATAAATATATCTCTATCGAATTCGTCAAATTTATTTGCTCAGGTACCCGGACTATGAGGTTTTGGGGGATCCGGCTGTAGCCAAGGGGGCTGCTGTCGCCACTAGGTATTCTGACTCATCACTCAACGGCATCGTCATGGACATCCACTTCCTATCTCTCAGCGACCACCTGGTCTGCACGTTCTCCTCACAAGTAAGTGATGATCAATTCATTGTTTAGCCCCGAAACTGTTATATTGACTATGTACTTACAACACCTGTCATGCAGTTTTTTGGCTAGTGTCCAGCAGATTTGATTTTTTGGTCTCTATGATTTGAAAGTGAATTTTTAGCAGGCTGCAAAAAGTTCAAGAAATATACATGATTTTGTATGGGGGAAAATGTGTGCGTTTTTTGGAAGCCCTAAATTTTTTTGTTCCTTTATTTGCTCCTATCCTCTCAAAATCTACCTTCATTTTGATCCAAGCATTTCCTCTGCTGTATACTTCCTTTTGGCGTTCTTCCTTCAGTAATTTTTAATCATTTTTTTCAGACTCAATGGATAATCTCATCTAAAAAAGGTCTCAGCCCATCTAAATCACTAGAAATGCCTTTTATTAGTCTGAAAGTGTGTTTATAGTTTAAAACTGCCTTTAAGAACAACTTTTGTCTGAAACAAATAAATTAGAAATGAAAAAGATCCAGCAAAGTTCAAAACAAAACAATATTAAAATATTTCCCCACTTACCACAAGAATACTACATATCAAGGAAAAGTTAAAAGTGTAATAGCTATTTACCTTACAAGTGTAGTAAGAGCGTTTTTACATCACGCAGGTGAATGTTGTGCAACGAGCGGAAGCGAGTGGCATAATTTACCGAAGTGATATAAACACGCTCTTGCGTAACGTGTAACGTACAAGATTTTACCTGACCCGACAATATACAGGAGGTTACGAACAATATTTTTCATTATCCATTTCACTCATCTTCTAACAGTAACGTTCATTTACAAACAAAAGCTAGGTTAGGAAAATTCTTCAAAACATAACAATAAAATTCAAGCGCACAGCTGATTTCTAGCGTTGAACGTCGTTGGCTCCATAGAGGTATATTTTTTAAGTTAAGCACTCAATGTTATTTAAATGGGTTTCATTACATCACCGAGTGAGTTTTTTTCAACTTTACATCACTCGAGAAGTAACGAAGTTATATACATCACGCTTGGGATAGGGAAGTTTAACATGGCGGGTTAGGTAAATTAATTTATTTGCTTTGATTGTCAAAGTCTGTAAAGTCAAGGTCTGTAGTGGTTGCTGTTCTGTATTAGGTGTGTCGTGTGGCCTATGAGATCATGCAGACTCTCTACCCAGATGCTGCAGACAGATTTCGTTCCCTTGACGACATTTATTATTTTGGAGGTCAACAAATACACAGGTGAGGGCGGAACTTTAACTTCACTCAACCCTGATTTGACCTTTATTCAAGTGTAATATGTTTCATATTTTTTCTTTTTCCTGTTAATTTTCAGAATGATTTTCCTTATTTGTCAATCCTTCCCCCTTCTGTTCCCGTCACCTCCCATTTCCGACCATGCCAGTTCAACCTTTTAAAAGGTTTTCCTTTCTGTTTTCCTATAACTTGACAATAGTTCATCTTGGTTAATTTTTTTCACTAAGCAATATTTTCCTCAATTATTTTTCCTGACTTTTCTGTCTTTTCTCAAACCTATCCCCCCATCCTGTCGGAAGCCAGAAAGTTCTTCATTCTACAAAAAGACAATGTTGAAAATGCCTGCCTTTTCTATTTATTTGTAATAGTCATACAGATTATATGAATGTTGTTTTTACTATCAGCTGTCTGTTTTGTTGTCCAATATTGTTCCTTGTCATGAAAACATTAATGAGAAATACATTTGATTATTTTATAGTTTAAATTCGTTTTTCGTCGTAGTTTTACTTAGATTATCCCTTAACACCAAACCTCTTGAATTATTCTCCCAAGTGGAGGTGTTTAGGGATAATCTAAGCAAAACTACGACGAAAAACGAATTTAAACTATAAAATAATCAAATGTATTTCTTATTAATGTTTTCATGACAAGGAACAATATTGGACAACAAAACAGACAGATGATATGAATGTTGTTTTTACTATCAGCTGTCTGTTTTGTTGTCCAATATTGTTCCTTGTCATGAAAACATTAATAAGAAATACATTTGATTATTTTATAGTTTAAATTCGTTTTTCGTCGTAGTTTTGCTTAGATTATCCCTAAACACCTCCACTTGGGAGAATAATTCAAGAGGTTATGGTCGCCAGCATCGTTTTATGTACATAACAGTGTTGGGAAATCTAGTCTACTACGTACACGGTAAGAACAATTTATACTGACGTATTTTTCTGTCTCAAGAGTATTATTTCTTTGGTATATCTTTCGATCGAGTTCGTCCAGCTCTACAAATGGAATACGTGAAAGGTATAAAACCATTGAAAGGGGCAGAAGATTGGCCGACGTGGAAAGATCGAGTGTTGGACGTTCTAGAGTTGTTCGACGCGGTTGATATCTTCGAGGGAAAGAGAGAAAAGCCTACCCTCTCTGAGCCTCCGACTAAAGCCGAAAAGGAAGAACTTCAGAAATTCAACAAATCCACGACTCAGGCAAACATAGTTATTTCTCATTGCGTTAGTGATGATCTACATCAACGTATTTCCGGAAGATTATCAGCTAAGGAAGCGTGGGACATTTTGATCGAGCAGTTCGATAACAAGGCAGAAGATCAGTTGTTTCGTCAGTGTTTGGATTTCTTCAGTATGGAATGGGATGATACCGAGGATGCCCCGACCGTGCTTTCAAGATTGAAGAATCAAAACCGCGAATTTGCAGCTGGCCTCAAAACGCGTAACATCCAAACAGTCGAAGATTTTCTTGAGCTCCTGTTTGTGTCAAAAGTGTTACATATTTTGCCGAAGCGTTTTGAATCGTTCAAGTCTAGCTACTTACTTATGAAGGCAAACGAGAGCAAGAAACTTGAAGATTTTTCATCTGCATTGATCCTTCATGAGCGTAATGTTGCTCCTACGTCAAAAGCCGGTGACATTCTTAGTGCCACAAACAGCGGTGGTCAGAAGAATAGGAAACCAAAAGGTGACACTTCGTGCAAATACTGTTCGGGGAAAGGTCATTGGATTCGCCAGTGTTCTAAATGGAAAGCTGACGGCAAGCCTGCGTATCCAGCTCGAGCTAACGGCATTAGCACTAGCTCGAAAACGAGTGACACTGATAAGAAGAGAACAATGGGCTCGCAAGTTAACGTGACCGACAACCGAAGTGCGCTGATTTCCATCAGCAGTGACACGAATATCGTGACCACGAACGACCAGTGGTGGATCGACAATGGCGCTACGCGGCACATTACGTCAAATCTGAGTTGGTTCACGGAGTACAAACCTTTTCCTGCAAACTCAAACGCAACAGTAAAGGCGGCGGGAAAGGAATTTATAAAAGCTCTTGGCAGTGGAGTCGTTGAAGTAGCGAACTATGAAAATGGAAAACTGGAAACGTTCACACTCAACGATGTATGGTATGTTCCTGACGTTTCTCGGAACTTAGTGTCCATTCTCGCAGCTCATGATCGAAACCCTAATAGCAGGTTTGAATCGACTAATACCGAGTGTCGGTTCACAATTAACGAAAAAACTGTATTCAAAGGTACTCGAAACTGTGGTGGAACTTTGTATCGTGCCTCATTTCACACAGTTCAACCATCTGAGGTTTGCGCTAATGCAGCAGAAGACAATCGAATACTGCAGTTATATCATGAGCGCTGGGGTCACATGGATAAACGTTACGTCCGATCGAAGCTCGAATCCGAAATGGGTATCAAAGTGCCAGCCAACTACGAGATCTGCGAACCGAGTCAGTTCGGAAAGGCACACCGTCTACCATTCGGAACACGAGAACGCCCCTCAGCCCCCGGTGAGTTGTTATCCGGTGATGTTTGCGGCCCGTTTGACCCATCCTTCGGAGGTCGCCGATACTTGATCGTCATAAAAGACCACTTTTCAAGGTACCGATACTGTTTTGTCGCAAGGGAAAAATCTGCTGTGAAGGAAGCGTTGCGTGAAGTGTTGTCTAAAGCACGCACAATTGGTCATCACGTCAAAGAGTTCCTCAGCGACAACGGTGGTGAGTTTGACAACGCTGAAGTTCGTCAAATTCTCAGAGAATATGGTGTTAACCAACGTCTGACAGCACCGTATACACCCGAACAAAATGGTGCTGTGGAGAGAGAGAACAGAACGATCGTCGAAATGGCCCGGACCTTCAAGTACGCCAATCCAAATGTAACATTTCCTGCAGCGATCTGGGCGGAACTTGTCATCACTGCTGGCTACGTTTTGAACCGAGTGGGAAAGTCAGCAGTTGCCAACAAATCACCCTTTGAGCTCTGGTTTGGTCAAAAGTCGAGGATCAAACATCTGCGAGTGGTCAGCTCAAAGTGCTACGTCCATGTTCCTGTTCAGAGGAGGCGAAAAATGGACAAGAAAGCTGTGGTTGGTTACCTGGTTGGATACGATGGTGATGAACGATATCGAATCTACGTCCCAGAGAGAAGAGATATCGTAGTCTCTCGTGATGTCATTTTTCAAGAAATCGTTGGAGACTGTGACAAGAAAGTTGAGTGGCCCATAAAGATTGAGAAAACCAATGACGTCGAAGAAGATTGGCAAGAAGTTAAAGAGACTATTGACGAGCCTAGTTCTCCAGTGAAGGGTGATGATGAGCCTATACCAACTGAGGACACGTCAAGTAGCAGTGATAGTGAAGATGCAGAGTTATCCAACGATCCTGCAACCCGGCACTCGACTCGGGAAAGAAGGCGACCAGAGTGGCTAAACGATTACGTCTCGTCTAACTTTGTCGAAGTTCTTCTTGTTGACGATGAACCTAAGTCGTACACTGAAGCCATCAGTTCAGAAGATAGTGCTGAATGGAAAACAGCAATGGACAAAGAAATGGGGTCCATGCATAAACACGGTGCATGGGAATTGACCGAACTCCCTCCGGGAAAGAAGACTATCAACAACAAGTGGGTCTACCGATTAAAGCGCAATCCTGATGGAAGTGTTGACAAATATCGAGCGAGATTGGTCATCAAAGGATGTGCGCAAAGACCTGGTATTGATTATGCCGAAACCTTCAGCCCGGTTGCTCGTCTGGAGGTCGTTCGATCAATATTGTCCATCGCAGCTGTTGAGAAGATGGTTCTACGGCAGTTTGACGTCTCAACTGCGTTCTTGTACGGAGACGTTGAAGAAGAAATTTTTATGAAGCAGCCTGAAGGATATTCAGATGGGACAAATCGTGTTTGTTGTCTCAAACGCAGCTTATACGGCCTGAAACAGGCACCTCGATGCTGGAATAAACGGTTTGACGACTTCATGAAAGGCTTAGGATTTCGACAGAGCCGTGAAGATCCCTGCGTCTATATTTGTCCTACCCCTGCTGGAAAAATCATTGTTGCACTCTATGTTGATGACGGATTAGTCACAGCGACTAGTCAGACTGAAACGAAACGAACCCTATACCTCAACCAAGACTTCAATTCCTGCAAGAAAATCTTGTACTCTCGGAGTGACTATGCAAATAAGGGAAAGTGTTGAAAATGCCTGCCTTTTCTATTTATTTGTAATAGTCATACAGATGATATGAATGTTGTTTTTACTATCAGCTGTCTGTTTTGTTGTCCAATATTGTTCCTTGTCATGAAAACATTAATAAGAAATACATTTGATTATTTTATAGTTTAAATTCGTTTTTCGTCGTAGTTTTGCTTAGATTATCCCTAAACACCTCCACTTGGGAGAATAATTCAAGAGACAAGAGATAAACGAATTCCTATAACAGCCCTCAGTGGACTGGGTGATGCCCTCTGAAACTTTCAATCACGTCACATCCTGTAATCTCAATCTGCTGCTCCTTGTCTCCTCTTTGCTCCAGTTCTCAACTAGACTTTGGTTTTCAGGCGGAAGGCTATTCTGGACCACAAGTCTCGAGGCCTAGACCAGATGGATCTCAACGTAGGAGAGATGGTGGGGGTCGCAGGTAACCACTGGGACGGGTACAGTAAAGGACGCAACCTGCGCACCAATCAGATTGGTCTTTACCCTTCCTTTAAGGTGAGTTAAAGTTAGGTTGCTTGATTGCGTTTAATTACATCCCAGTAGTTTTAGGTTGTCTAATCGTGATTGGTTTGTAGTTATGGATTAAAAGATTCAGTCTATGGTTAAACATGTAGGAGAATGTTTTTGATTTGAAAGTAAAATATGGGACTTTTTGTGTCGTACACTACGTTTTGGGAGAAAAGGAAACTCTCTCTTTTTCATGTCACCATAGATCCTAATTAGGTCAATTAGGAAGCTAAATGTATGGTCACTTGATGAAGAGTTTCCTTACCACCCAAAAGGTACTATGTAGTGTTGTTAAAACATCACAGGAAAGTAGCCTACATATTGTACCTCCTATTCAAGTAAAAAAATCCCATTTACAAACTTTAAAAATACATGTAAGCATTAAGCAAGTAAGGAATGTTTCTTTAACTCATCACTATGAATAATTTGTCTTTTAATGAATGTATAAATTGTTAATGCAGTTAAGGATGAAATGTAAAATCTGTGTTCACGGTAATTTATCAAATTTAGTTGTATCTTTTAGGCCCCTACTTGTTAGAAATGTTGTCAGTCTGGCTTCACTCGTGCTATCAAATCGTGCTATATTTTATGTGCTGCAACGTTATTTATAAAATTCAAGTGCACATGCTTACAGGCGAGGTTGGGTACTTTATAGCAGACATTCTTGACTGTTTGTGTAAGTCTTCACAAGATTGTAAAATAGATATCCTTTTTATTGCAGTCTTGTCTCGATTGTCCGACCTAATAGGGATGAGGTAAGATCGGATACTATGTTCTTTGTCATTTTCTGAAACAAAATACTGCTGACGTCTTAACGGTGTATAATTCAACCTCTAATCCTATCGTGTAAAGTGTAATGTGCAACATTTGGTCTGTCGTAGGTGGAAGACGTCGTAGAAGCAGTTGAGTTTCCGACGTACCCTCAAGTTCCTATAGACCTTCAGAGTGGCACCTGAATGTCTCGGAAGACTACATCTTCTCGTTAGTATATAATGTGTGATAGGCCTATGGGATCACAACGTGGTCAAGATTTGTAAGTTTTACGATTCTTATTTCAAGGCAGTGTGTGAAAGATTAATTTTCAAATATATTTCAATAATTAATTGGTCAGTAAAATTGTAGATTTTGGTATCTTAAAAAGAGGGTATCGGTATCTAAGAGTTTCTTATCATATGATAATAGTTATGAAGAGTTGAGGTTAAAGTGCAGTACAATTTTTGAATAGACGTGAAAAAAGACAATCTGTTGAGTTATTAGTTATTATTGGACAATCTGATTTTCCAGAGTTTTTTTTTAATGGTTCAAAGAGTTCATCCCCACTCGTAGGAGTGAATAGGTTAGTTTCTACACATGGAAAGTGCAAACAATTGGCACAGATTGGGTAGCTAGGTTTTTTAAGTAGGCTTATAATTTTGTAAGCAAAAAGTATTAGGCCTACATTATTTGGTAAACATGACAACCATCTAAGTCTTTCACACACTGTCTGACGTAGTCTGTCTGGATTTTCAATCAAAATATGATCAAATGTAGAAATAGTGGTAGTCAGTTAAAATTTCTCTACATTCCTATTAATTTGTATGGGTTTATAAACCACAAATAGAAAATAATAATGGGTAAAACAAATGTACATATAAAACCGAACTATTCTACAGTTCTGATTAGTCAGTTGATATGATACACATATAAAATAAAATTCAACGTATAGAGTATAGACTTACTATCAAACTGAATTGGTTCAATGAAGACTAACTGAAATTGGTACAGTATCTCACAATTCTATTGGAATGAAAGACATAATTAGAACCCACACACCAGGTATTTTATTTGTTTTTTATACTTTTTGTTTTACTTTGTGTTCTGTAGTTAGCACTGGTATGTTCTAAATCATTAAATTAATGAAATTATGTAAATGGATGAACTAAAAATTGTTTGCATTTATTGATATCATTCAGTAATCTAGAAATTAATTTAAGTAGTGAATGAATTCCAATACTCATTGAGTACAGATATACCCAGAAACTACCACTATATACAAAAGATTTTGCTCACTGTAGGATGTTTAATATCATTTTGGCTTTTGTTTCATTGATTTGCAATGTAGATTTTCAAATCTACATTGTAAACTATTTTAACTATTTTGGACGTTTAAGTATGATCTATTCCACCATAGCCGGCTGTTATTTTGTGTTGTTATAGGTTTATTTGTAGTGTTAATAGTTTACTTAATATATTCCCATGAAATATAAATGATATATGTTGTTGATTTATGTTGGTAGTAATGAGTAACTGCTTTCTTAGTATGAATTTATTTGTAATTTACAAATCATTGTTATAAAAGTACTGGTAGTCCATTGATTTTCTTGATACTTTACTAATATTTTCTAAAACTTTAGTTATTGTATGTTATATGTAGGGATGGTCAAGTCTCGAATTTTCGGGAAAATTTAAATCTCGTTACACGAGACGAGATTTCTTTTTGACCGAGATTTTAATCGAGACGAGAATAAAAAAAAATAAATAAAAACACCTGCAGAAAGTCAATGCAATACCCGCAATACAGGAGCGTGTTGTAGTTGCGTTTCCTTTGCGAAGGCGTTCTTATTTAATTAATTCTTTAAATGTAAATATTACTTTAATTATCTTAATAATATTACTTTAATAACATTTGAGAAGTTTTGTTGAGTGTAAGCAGTGTGAGGAATGTTTTATTACTATAAAAAGTCAAACAAAGTAACTATTTTATAAAAATTAATATTGCTTTTATTTTATGATTTATTTAATTTTAGGATAAGTTGAACTCTATCCTAACTGATATCACTATGTTTCCTAATCGTAGGCATTTTTAATAAGTTAGACGTGATTCATAAAAAAATGTTATGCTGATGTTTTTAATAAAAGATTGTAAATATTCTTGCCTATTAATTATCATTATTTTTGTATTTAAACAGTCATCTAACAATGTTACAAAATCAGGTAAAAATTGTGAACGTGCATTTCCCTTTGTGTATGAGAAGGGAAATCCCGTCTCGATCTCGTCTCGAAATTTTATGAGAAATAAAAAATCTGGTCTCGTCTCGAACTAAAAATCCAATCTCGTCCATCCCTAGTTATATGTTGTATTATGTATAAGTTTTCTCTATATAGGTATTTTGCCTTACGCTCATTCTTTATTATCTTTCTTTATTGATATTAGGCTAACTATCTTTAATTGATCTCTTTATTGGAACAATAGGCCTACTATGAGTAAAACTATCTGCTTGGAACGTAGAAAAAGGAATAAGTTACTTTCTTTTCATCCCTTTGCCAAAAAAAATGTTTGAATAGGTTGTCTGAAAAATAAAATTTTACTTTAGGATAAGAAGTCTATGTTTGAACTCAGCAAGACTTCAGATACATCACAATTGCTGTCTTTTCATCTCTTGACACCTTAGGTCAATTGATTCATATTGATTGTTGCTGGTTCCTTTATCTACTTTGCCAATCAATACTATGATTTGAATGTCATTATAGCTTATGTTTGTGTTGAGAACACTAGGATCTGATTTAATTGTAGTAACTAAGGTACTAAAAATAGAATCTCTGTCAAATATAGTTATTAGTTATGAGGTGTAGCGTGATTATAAAATAATCTACCGATAATAAGCGTGTGTATGTGTAAATATTAATAGTCCATTATGAATATTTTGGACTGAACAATTCTGATAGAAGTATTTTTATAGCACAGAAAAATGAATGTAATTATATTAGTTTTGCATTTAAGTCACTATTGTACTTTTTTTAATCGGAGATATTAATTAGCATCGTATGACAAAATAATAGTATAACTACCTGTTCATTGTTAGAAATATTAATACTATATATTTAGGAATACAAATTGACCTAAATTATGAATAAAACTTTAGAGGTGCAATCTCTTGTAAAAACAAATGACAATTTTCTGTATAAAATATTGTTTTAGTAGTCCCAATCATAACTAATATACTTTTAAAAGCTCAAGAACAAAGTTCATTTTCCCAATTTTCCTGTATGTAGTGAGTAGTGTTATGAAATTGTGAGAAATTTATAGTCTTTTATTTAATAAAGATTAAAGAATAAATAAGTAAATAGTTATCTTTGCGAATTTCTTCCTTTAGGGCACCCCAATTTAGTTATTATTTTGGTACAAATATTTTAGGCTCAATGTGAATGCAAAATGAGGGTCAAATGAATTATCTATGTAGCTTTGTTACTGACTTAGATAAGCAGTGTCCATAGTCAGGACCATTTATTAGGAACTTTCTCCTCATATACGTAGTATATGTAGAAAGTAGGGATGTGTCGAATCTGAATCTTGAATCCACCGAATCCTAAGAAAAGATTTTGATTCAAAATTCAATCAACGAGTCAAGAATTTAAAAAAATATTTTTTTTTAAATAAAATTATAAGGCATATACTGTGACATTGCATAACCATAAAGGTTATTGACGTCGTAATATACAGTAGGTAGGTACTGTGACATTGACTAACCATAGAGGTTATTTGATGTCGTAATAAATGATACTGTGACATTGACTAACCATAAAGGTTATCGATGTCATAATGTACAGTACTGTGACATTGACTAACTATAGAGGATATTGACATCGTAATATGGAATACTGTGACATTAACTAACCACAGAGGTTATTGATGTCATAATGTACAGTACTGTGACATTGACTAACTATAGAGGATATTGACATCGTAATATGGAATACTGTGACATTGACTAACCACAGAGGTTATTGATGTCGTAATATAGAGTACTGTGACATTGACTAACCATAGAGGTTATCGATGTCGTAATGTACAGTACTGTGACATTGACTAACCATAGAGGTTATGGTTATAGCGTAGGCTTTTGCGGCCGGTGTCATTGAAATCCATATTGATGGTTTTCGGCGTCAACCGCGTCGTCAGTTGTATTTCACTGCCAAACGTTTCGCCCTTACTATGAAGTGGCATCCTCAGTGGCTAGGCTGATACTAAGTCACAGAAGTCCGTCCAGGTATACTTAAAGCTGGGTTTATGTCATCGGTGTACGCCTGGAATCCTACCCAATGGAAAAGACAAATTACCCCTAGGCGCACCGGGTAAATGACAAATTACCCCTAAGAGCACGGGGTGTATACAAGATTCATTGTTCCTGTGGCAAAGTTTACATCGGAGAAACCAAACGCATGATTTCAACTAGATTGTAGAAACACATTCGCCAGACAAAACAAGATTATACTTAAATACCCCCACCGCAGCATACCTGCCGACTAAGCGAATTTCCATTTGTTTGAACTGATTTTCAATCAAATCTATTTAAATAACATTAGGTTTAACGAGTACCTAGGTTTGCTGCTACAAGGAAACTAATTAAGAGAGTTTTTTAGTAAAATATTAATAGCTTAGTATAAATAAAATAAATAAATTTGCCAAGTTTGATCCAAATATATCAATAAACAAGCAAACTACATCATTTTACAATATTCTCCGTTACCAATAACCGTACAAAAACACTTTGATATACTAAACTATTTGTTTTTTTAAGCTCTTTAACAAGGTCTAGAGAGAAATTGAGGACTTTTGTGTTTTGAGGGTCAAAAATTAGAAAAACCAGTTTTTACCCCATAAAAGCCCCGTTCCCATGGTCCGATCATGCTGGTTCGCGAACTCATTTAAGTTTATCCTGCTTTACACCTTTAAACCATATTTCATCAAAATCGGACAAAAATTACTCAAGTTATCGCGTTTACGGACGTATATATATTGGCGTTGTAATATACAGTACTGTGACATTGACTAACCATGGAGGATTTTGATTATAATTCACTGTGAGGGTATCTATGGTATCCCCATGGGTAACCCATAAAATAAGGGGGAGATGGGATTTCCACAAACACGCTATGAACTTTTTTGATTGTTATAGAAATTTTTATTCTGAAGAAAAGTGTACAACCCCTATTGCTGTGAAAGTTGCGGTTAAATAGTTATTACAACTTTTCTGATTTTACCCATAAAATAGAAAGAATATCTCTGATCGCTGATAACGTTTAATGCCACTTTCAAGTTACAAATGCATATAAAAGTACAAAAGTACAATTGTTACTAAAATATTGACACAGTTTGAAAATGCAGGTTACACATGTAGTAGGGTAGTGACGTTCCATATTCTAAACAAGGATTTTGTAAAGTTAGTGTCGACAAGATATAAATTTTCACATCCTTCTGGCTACTGGAGTTTAAATAGCAAAGTTCACGCCACAAACAAATTACTTATTCAATCCTAATAAATATAAAATATACTTAAAGTAAGTGAAACAATACAAACAATTAACACAACAACAAACAAGTAAGTGAAACATGTCTAGTAACCTCAAAAATATACTTAAACATTAATTTATACATGACCCACTTCTATGAGCCTTTAAGGGATTAAAAAAACACATTCCAAATTAATATGTGAACGAATTAAATTCTTGATGTGGTTTAATATGATTTTGATCACAAAAAAGTGAATAATTCACTTCTATATTTACAGGACAGATGCTCTGTGAACAAGATTAATTACAGTTAATTACTAAAAAAAAAATTTAGAAACACCAATAAGAATATGGGGTGGAAGTACAAATTCAAGCTCACTACAAAATTGATCAAGGCGAGTATAACAACAAATATAAAAATATGAATACCATAAAAAATAAAAATCCTGTCAAAATAGAGAAAAAGTTGCAATGCTGCATTAAGCAGCTACAATACTGGGTGTATTTGCAAGGTCAAAAGTAATAATTAAGATATTTTATCAAAAAAAGTATATTTTTCAAGTGTGAATAGACACAATTCTTTACAAAATGTACAATTACAACAACATATACATTTAGTAAAATGAACTATTTACAATAACCTCACTAATCACACAGGCAAATATTCTTAATACACAAATTGCTAAAAACATCCTGTTAACAAACATTGTTAGTTTTTTCTTCAATAATTTAACTTTTAGCTAATAATGACACGAAAAATGCCTCAAGCTGTTAGCTGTTCATTGCTAGATTTTCTCTAGTTTTAGATGCAATAAAAATCACACTAAGTTGGCATTCACATGAAAATGTTCATGCTTTTCCTTAAATCAGAAGGAAAAATGTGGTGATTAAAAAATAAATTTAGTTTACAAATCAGTAACTTACACATCTGTGCAATTTAACAGTTAAATATCAAAAGAAAGCAATTTTAAACTTTTACAATGGAATTTTCCAAGCAAAAACATTAGGTTTACTACCTTTCCTAGATTTTAATACTAGCTAATGTTTTAACAAAAACAAACAGTAATTTTACAAATAGTTTCAGCAACCAACAATTTTTTACTATTTTGTAGTAAAACAAGGTCTTTAATTTATGTAGACTAAATGTAACCTTGTATCAATTTTGTTCTCTAAGGGAACCTTCTTTCACAGAGTCGTAAGTGTTGCTGTGTGAAATGCGACGTCGTCTCTTTTCGTTTAAAAATTCAAAAGAAAGCTCCGGTTTCAATTTGTACTCTTTGTTATTTTATTTGAGTGATGACTATAATAGTAACAATTAAGATTTTAACATTATTTAAATTTAAAACACTAAACACTAAACCCCTATTTTTCTACCACTTTGTACTTGTTAATTATGATGTAGGAACAATTAGTGAGGTATTATTTTTTTACTACTAAAATATATTGTATTACTATTTTGTACAATGACTAGAAAGTATTAAACATCTTAATCTTATTCTCGAATCTCTAAAATTTAACTCAATGTCGCTTTAACCAAGTTATACTGTTAGATATTTCGTCGTTTTTACAACAAATATGGACTTATTTGTATAACTTTTTTATCATACTGTTTAAAGCCAAATGAGGTAACTGTTTGAAGTTTGAATTGCAGTAGAACTCCTCATTTCCGGCCTCGGTTTCACCGGTCCTCAATTTATCTGGTAAGTTTTCGAAAGCCAAAATCAAAATGCATTTACCACATGGCACAGAGTACGGAGTTGCACAGAGTAACCTCTGCAACTTAAGCACTCTTATAATATCTGTTTGTTGACATTTTACTGTGTGCACTACTGAGTTGAGCTAGTAGGCCTAACTTCTTAACAGTTGGTTGATTATTTCCAGTGGGGTTAGTCAAAAACAGTCACTGTTTTATTTCGTAAAAACAACAGACAAGAAAGCTCAGCAGAAAATTATGGTTATTTTAAGGTCTTATAATATTTGAAGCTTATTTAATGGAAAATCTTATTTACTTTCATCTTTATTTAACAGTGGTATGTGTGTTCTGATGTCATTAACCCTCTAGAAGGCGCTAAGCTCCACACGTTACGGTTTTGACATAAAAAACATACCTAATTGGTGTCGCCAGTCGTGTCCGGCTCTCTACTTTGACACACCACATTCCTCGATTTCCCCAAACCAATGTTTAAACCCAACCTTCCCTGATGTTCAATCTAAAATGCGAGTTAGTAAGTGTGGTTATGTTGAGGAGTTTTTTCCACGTGTCCCCTGGGTTTTTGTTTTATTTCTTACTAATTAATTACATACAAGTTGTTATAAAATTAAAAAAAAAATTGGTTCCTTATTACTTGAGTAAGAATTTAACTGCAATCCGGCCAAATCTTTAACCAGGGGCCTTGTCCCATAATGGTCGAATATGAGGAGTTCTATTGTATTTCCAGCAAACACACCCTTTTGGAATCTATTGTTCTGAAGCTGAACAAACTATTTTCGAATATCACTATCCAACCTAAAAAGATTTTCCACTTCAAAACCAAACAAGGTCTCTATTTCTTCTGCATCCGGTTCTTTGTAGAGAAATCTGTCACTCCAAATCCTAACCAGGTGACTGTTGTCTGGGTTCTCTGCGAGTTTTTGAATTATCTTCCTGAGCTTTCTAAAATGGGTTTGTTCCCTTTTTGTATTTATTAGATTGTTTTTGTCGGCCCCTGAGACGTAGCTCTTTTGCTCAAATTTAACATAACTCTTGTTGTATTTAATTATTTGGTAGATTTCCCACGTGTGGTGGTCGGAGATGAAGGCTTCACACACCAACATACACAGCCTGATCATTGTGTCTGAAAGTTTCAAGACGGAATTTGAGTTCAAGTTCAGTTCTTCTTGAGTTCTAATTGCTTGTTTGAAAAAGTGTTCTATCTCGTCTCGACCTTTAGCCAGCATTAGAGGTGTAACGCCTTTGCTGTCTTTCTTCCTTAAGAGGCAAATTCCTAAAAATACACTTAGAATTAGAAATGAGTTTTTTTATAGGAGTAATTTTAGTAAAAATCTTATCAGGTAAATAGACCTTTGCTTATCCTGCAGGTTTTCTGCAGCAGGAGTAATTCTTTTAAAGCTGGGTTTCAACTCACCTCCATGTTCAACTAGAAGTTTACAAATATCCAGGTTACCATTTCCTACGGCCTCGTGAAGAGGAGAGATTCCTTCGTTGTTTTGTACACCGACATCTACCGCTTCCTTCCCTGAAGCAACAACACATTCTTAACCAACACTAAAACTAACTGGGACTTTGTTGGCTCATTTCCCTCAAAACAATCACTCTTAAATCTTCCTGACTGGGAAGTAATTATCATTACTTTGAGGGAGTGATACACACCTAGGTACGGAATTTAAGCTAAATGAATGCAAGAGAGTGTAGAATGGAGCGAGATGATCTGTGTAGCTTTGTTACTGTTTCTCTAGCCAAGCCCAATGATGCAGGACAGCTGGGCCCAGTTTTGATGATACTGATCAGGATCAGGTGACCTTTTTGATTGTTAAATGAACACTACAACCTCTCAGCTACCCAGCTATTTGTATAATACATTACCAGTTCATGGTACTAGGTATCAATACTAGTTCCTGTAACAATAATCTCAACCAATGACTTTTCAGTGATATTTTACCATACAAATTGTAACAATATTGCAATTTGTATGGTGAAGAATAAAATTAATAAAACTAATACTATTGTATCTAGGTCAATGTAGAAGGGCAAAAGTAAGGTTGAAAGAAGCCGCCAACCTCTTTTATTAACAAATAAATAATTAAAAATACTACTGGTTTTTTTTTTGTTTTTGTATGTTGATTCCACTTTAAATGAATGAAAAAATAAAACTTGCTAGTTATTTTTGTTTTTTTTTCTGATCAACATATAAGGCTTTGAAATCTGTGAATAAATCACTGGTTGACACACTATGTCATTATATGGAATCTATATAAAATAAAGAGGTAGTTTTCAGCAGGTGAAAACCGGGAAACCCTTTAAGCCGCTAACCAAGAAAAATAAAGATGCGTCCATTAACCCGTCTCCACTACAGCTTGTAATAACACTTTATGTAATCATAAAACACCTCCAATCCTAAACAATGAAAAAACTTGAGAGTTTGTCTAACCTGGAGGAGGCACGAACTGCAGTAAAGTCTGAACCTTAGGGATACATCCAGCGTTGACTGCTTCATGCAGTGGAGTCCAGCCGTGGTTGTCCTTCTCATTGACATTGGTGTCAGCCATGGCCAAGACACACTCTACATCTCTGACAGAGAACTTGGCACTCTTACACACTCTGAGGAGGAGGGATTCACCTGAAACATTATACAGTTTATTACCAATGATCCTTTGGAAAACTTTTTACTTACAAAACCAAGCACAGTTATATCGATCTGCACGTTCATGTAACGTGTAAATATTGAAGCTGCTGAACTTTGTAGTATGTCACCATGGTTACTCACATGATTGTAAATAAAACTGATGGAATTCTGTGGCACTTAGGTAGATATTCTCTACGGGTTCACCAAGAAATGCGGTGGTTAGCGAGAATCTGGTGCCGAGAAAATTGATATGGGGAGTCAAGTTTGCAGGATTTTAGTACCTACACCAAATACCAAACATGTAATTTAAATACTGTCACGTGGCTTGTGGCAATGATTTAACAGCTTGAGGAATCAGAGTAATCTCAGGCTACAGTGGCTTTGTGCTAACCGCTAAACTTTCCACAAATAAAATATAAAATGTACGTAGATTCTATTTATGGATATAAATAAATACTTCCATAGATGTCAACGCTCAAAAGTACCTTAAGACACTTTGTCTAATTAGGGTCCCAAAGGAAACTTTAGCTATTTGGTACCGGTAGTACATTACAAAAACATATGAAGAATAAAATGATCTAGAAAAAATAGAAAAGTACAGTAGGGATGGACGGGTGAAGCAACTAAGAAAGTTCCTGTTTTGTTCTAGTCCAAAAGATTGAGAAGAAAATGAAAATTCTGTCCTGTCCTGTCCCAAATATTATAGAGAATAATATTACATTCTGCATTGTAATGGATATAAGAGATGCGGAGACTGGAGAGTCTCTGGAGTCAAAATTCAGAAAAGAAGCTCAAAAACATATTAAATGTCATAAACAAGTGAACCACTTGATTGAACAAAGTAAATTTTATCATTCTTACCATATTTGTTCCTCTTCCTTGAAGCCTTCGAAAACTTCTCAGCTTCTTTGTTTAACGCTTCCAAATTTAGCTCAATCTGTAACATAAATGTACAGAGTTTATGAAAACTCCTCAGGACCACAACAGCTTTAAGGTAGATCTAGTAATTAGTTGGTAATCAAATTGATTTTGAAAAATGAAAAATGTAATCTTTAAATGAAAGCTTAGTTACTCGATGTGCTTGTGAAACTATTAGTAGACTGAAATGGCAGGACTTTGTGTAGCATGACCTAAATCTCAAACAAGACTGTTCATTTTATTATAAATTGATTAATCTGATAGGATATTAGAAAAGGTTGGTGAACCCGTTGAGTTACGCTGTCTTTAGTAAATTTTTATAAGTTGGGCGTTTCTGTTAAAACTGGTATTGTAAAAATTGCATTAAAATAAGTTTTGAGCTGAGAAATTGAGTTAATGATCGACCATAAACAAATTTCAATTTCATTCCTGAGGTTCATAAAAAAATAACTGTGGTTCAATTAATCAATCCTATGTACTAAACATTCCTAAAAATTGTACATGAATGTGCCATTAGTGTCTTGGTATCCATGAAGTTAGTAGATGCAAAAAATAAGCTCACGACCGATCTGTACCATAATAGTATTGGCTATTTTTCGTGTTTTATGTTAAGTGTATTAAGTGTTGTAAAACTGTTAATCTCAATGTTTTTTTTAAAAACACCGTGTCCGCAAGAATGAAAAGACGGTGACGACGTCCGCCTGAAGATGATCCCGTGAGGATCGAAACGGGTTGCCTTTCAAGGTCACAAGGATCACTTGACAGCAGGTAATTTCACCAGTACAAGTAAAAATACCCCCGCCGCAGCAAACCTGCCGACTAAGCGAATTTCCATTTGTCTGAATTGATTTTCAGTTAAATTATATTTTAACATTATGTTAAACATTAGGTTTAACGAGTACCTAGGTTTGCTGCTACAAGGAAACAAATAAAGTGTGTTTTTGAGTAAAATATTGATAGCTTAGTACAAAATAAATAAATTTGACAAGTTTGATCAAAATATATTCATAAACAAGCAAACTACAACATTTGACAATATTCTCCATAAGAATAACATGGGAATTTTAAATTTACAATTTTTTAAATTTTCTCCGTTACTAATAATTGAACAAAAATACTTTTATATACTAAATTATTTGTTTTTTTAAGCTCTTTAAAAAGGTCTAAACAGAAATTGGAAAATTTTGTGTTTTGAGGGGCAAAAGTGAGAAAAACCAATTTTTACCCCATAAAACCCCCCGTAAAGCCCCGTTCCCATGGTCCGATCGTGCTGGTTCGCGAACTCATTCAAGTTTATCCCGCTTTACACCTTTAAACCAAATTTCATCAAAATCGGACAAAAATTACTCAAGTTATCGCGTTCACGGACGTATATATATATATATATACCCCCGTCGCAGCAAACCTGCATACTAAGCGAATTTCCATTTACCCGGCTTGATTTCTACTAAAATATTCCCTATAAATTTTCAGATTTATTTCCTATTTAAATAACATTATTTTAGTGAGTAGTTAGGTTTGCTGCTACGGGGAAGATGTTGAGGTGTGTGTTTTCAATTGAAATATTGATAGCTTAGTATGAAATAAACCAAATTGCCAAATTTGATTAAAATATATCCATAAACAAGCAAACTAGAACAGTTTATTTATTCTCCATAAGAATAACATGGGAATTTTAAATTTACAATTTTTTTAATTTTCTCCGTAGTCAATGAACATTCAAAAACACTTCAATATACTAAATTATTTGTTTTTTTAAGCTCTTCAAAATGGTCTAGAGAGAAATTTAGAAATTTAAAGTTTTTAGGGTCAAAAACGAGAAAAACCCATTTTTACCCCATAAAACCCCCCATAAACCCCTGATCCCATGGTCCGATTATGCTGGTTCGCGAACTCGTTCGAATTAATGTAGGTTTACACGTTTGTACCAAATTTCATCAAAATCGGATCAATTTTGCTCGAGTTATCGCGCTAACGGACACATATATAAATATATATATATATAAATATATACTTTTGTGCCCACCCGGTTTGGCAGTCAGTGCGCTGGTAATTTACTCGGTATGGCAGTCACCCGCCCGAAAGCCAGTCAGCTCTCCCATAAGCCAGTCAGGTATGGCTTCCCGTGCACTTTATACGTATGAAAACAGCAAACCGGTGCTGCTGCCTGTGTCGAAAAGCGTAACTGCAATACCAATGCGGATACTGTCTCATCGTGTGTTCTAGTTCTATCGTGGAGTAGTGTAACCAAGTACGGCACCCTACCCTACTTTGTAGCGGTAACACCCAGCGGTCTGTAACCTTCGTTTACTCCTTGTTACTATTTATGTTGGGATAGTGATTAACTACGTGTTAATGTTTAAACATGTTCATACTCCAAATAAATATGATGCACCTCTAATAAGGATCGTTGAATATTAATTAATTATAATTGGTTGAATCTTGATCCTACCCGTTCATCATCTCATATTTTAGGTTATTTTAATTTTTTTTACCTTCAGTTGAAATTTTAGTCAACTTCTCCTTTATACAATATTTTATATCCTAGTACAATATTTACAGTGTTTCCATGGACCGGGAACTATACGGATTTTCTTTATCTCGAGAAATATACGTGAATCTTGTCCGAGATACAGGAACTGTTTTTTTACGCAATTGCGTAACGCGAAGGAGTAACTATTACATATGACAACGATATTATTCTATCTGATAAGAATAACCATGAAACTACACTCGAAAGATAAAAGATTTTTATAATAATTTTAATTTTACAAACAAACTATTACTGGAATTCTATTTTGGGTCGGATGAATATTAAGGAAGCAACAAAAAGTGGTCACGAGTGCAAATGCGGGTAGAGGGGGTACAATATAACAAACGCCAGAAACGATTATTTGTTTACTATTCAGATTCCTTATCAAATCTCTCTCTCTCTCTCTCTCTAACGATGTACAGATTGTGGACTTTACGATTTAAGTTTTCCTGCAATTATTTCAGTTCAATCCCATACCTATCCTTATGGTTTCCTATCTATTATTTTTCAAAATAAATAGTAAAGCTGGTTAAACTATTTTTTATTTTATTTTCTTGAAACCAAACACTCCTTACCATCCGGTATTCTGCAGAGTCAAATGTTTAACACTGTGTTTATAAAAATTGAATGGCCACACAATTTCGTGTTTTATTTTTTTTTTTAAGCAATAGTAACTGGGATATTTATATATACCAATAAGTGCTGCAAGCTGTAATAAATGCTTCTGATTAATATCAAAATAAGTTATAATTAATTTTGTTTAATACATCAGTCATTGAATACAAACCATAATGGGTTTTCTATTTGTAGCTTTAACTTGCAAATACAGTAGAACCTCGCTTAACTGGAGTCGCATCATCATGATGCCTATATATTATATAACCTCACAAATCCCAAGAAAATGTTTTATGAACTGTGTTTTTCAGTCTATTATTTCGATATGAACGATATATTTAACTATTTACGGTAATTTTTATGTGCAGTAGGTTCCCAATTATTGAAATATTACAGTTCATTTGACAAAAATAACATGGAAGCAAGACGGAGAAATATCGATCAGTAGCGTCAAGGTCAACCTATACGCTCGCACCTACAGACTGACAACCTTGCACTGACACTGACATACTGACAATCGTCTGCTCCTGTCTGCTGTCACAACACTACAATATTTTGTGGTTGGGTCGTTGGGTGATTAGTAACCATGACAACTTGTGGATGGAGAGAAACCAAAGAAAGAATAGAACAAAGAGAAATAATAAGAGGTGTTTTACATCATTGTTGTCTTTATCTTATTTTTATCATTGTTATTATTACCAGAAAGACTTAAGTACAGTACTATGATTTTATGGTGTTTTATGAGTTATTTAATATTTTTATCCCCATACTTCTGTTCTGAAACATCATGTAGTAGTAGCCTAGGATGACTACGGTATCAGTAGCCTTCTAGTCTACATTTTCTTTTGTTTTGTTCTTTACGTGATTTATTGCTGTACAGTAAGCAAGTTTTGTTTTGTTTGAGTAAGCATACGGTGTAGTTTTTATTAGTGAACCAAGGTTAATGACTTAACATATCACGGTTGCGCAATACCTATTGTATTTTGACTATGTAAAATGCAAATTTATAATCACGTTAACGTCCATTTATATAGTGTCCCGGAACGGCATTGTTCCTGAGTAAGAAACATATAAATATCATATTTAAATTATCCAGAAGTCCTTAGTTACTCACACAGGGGAAAAAAAGGTTTTAGGCCTAAATCATTTGAAACCTGTACATTACATATTTTTGGTCGAGTTTTCGACCACTGGACGACCACTAGTTAACGTTAATTGTATTACAACAATCTTTATAGTAAGCAATATAAGCTTGAATCGAACTTATCTGCCTTCAGCTAATCCATCATATGATAGTACGTTAGAGAGTATGCCCATGCTGAAGTTTTACTTATACTTGAAGAATGACTTAATTTAGTACCAAGAAATAAATCACACCCCTTACATACACTGTGCTGTTTTAATGTTGTGTAGTTGATTGCTACTGTATTAACCTGTGATCGCATATTAATTCCTTCATTAGGAACGTATTTAAAAAAATACTACTTTTATTTTTTTTTAATAAATCATAGAAAATTTATTTACAATAACATAAATGTGTAAGATTAAAATAAATTAATGTGTTGCATTGTCCATTTAAAGTTACATCATAGTAAATTAAAATTCCAGTGAAACTTTAACAATAAAAGCAGAAATTAGTTATAAATAAAACACGAGTTTCCTTTATATATCTTTTACAATAGAAATAAACATACTGAGCCACGGCTCGTTCCCCCGGTACTTTTCATTTGAAATATTCAAATAAAGTCGATTATTTTAAATGTTTTATGAAACGTGACATGGCAAATTTCCACGGAACTTTTTTTGTCGGCTACTATTTTATTTTATTTTTTGGTCAGGTAAGTTTAAAAACAGTGGATTCTGTATACAAA